AAGCCTTCTTTTGTTCCGCAGACATTTTCCTCTTGTTGTTGTTTTTTTTTTTAATCCGCCATATCTTTCTGTCGTCGCTCGGCTCATGTCTGACCTCCTGTGCACTGAGCACTCTCTCTTCCACACATCAGGAGTAGACACGCCCGAATTTTGTTGATACTGATACTGGTAACAGCCCTAATGTCTTATTATTCTAATCAACTGATTAAATGTAAGAATTTGACTCAAAAGATAATGCACACTTTTAGATAAAAATGCCCATAAAATTTAAAAATCAATTTAAACTTACTGGAAAACATTCATTTCTATCACTGCTGTGAACTGACCAGCACACAGAATATGAAGGATATCAAAAACAAGTTTTACACACACACACAAGTACGTAGAGAGACATTTAAGAGGGTTTATTCTTCAAATAACTCTAATTTTATGTTTTTACATTTTTTTTACTCTAAAAAATGTGTTTTTAGAACCCACAGACTGGTTATGTGCCCATGTGGAACACAGATTAGTCCTGTCACTTTAAGAAGTTACTCCTAATGTCAGCTCGTTAGGTGTATAAAAGACACCCGTCCACACAATCCGTGCAAGATCTTGCCTCATGGGGTAAGGATGATCATGAGAAAGGTGAGGGATCAGCCCCGAACTACATGGGAGGAGCTTGTTAATGATCTTAAGGCAGTTGGGACCACAGTCACCAAGCGAAACATTGGTAACACACTACGCCGCAATGGACAGAAATCCTTCAGCGCCCGCAAGGTCCCACTGCTCAAAAAGGCACATGTACAGGCCCGTTTAAAGTAGGGGTGCGCCGAGCCGATATTCAGTATCGGTATGAGACGAGATCAGACGAGACCGATCCAAATCCGATATAGTGCGTATACTATTCTGTGTTATTATTAAGCCCCACGAAAGCCACATAAACATTTATAAAACACAATAAAGTTTTCGTGCACTATATTTTAAGTGTTCTGAAGCCATTTCACAGTTTAATGTGAGGTACAGGTGAATATTTAAGTCAAGTTCACGTAAACTCTTCTCTCCACTGCGGCTGTCTGTCATCCTACATTCAGCATTCAGACTGCTTGGCGCGTTCGGTTACGACAGTCAAGACGATGAAACTCTATCCAAGACGATTAAATGTTCTTAATGTTATACTTGATCTGTAAATAAAGATAAATGGTTTTGCATAAAAGGAATTTATCTTGCTGGAGTTTCGTGCTGTTTCTAAATCGTGTAAATTTCTACCGGATATCTGGTTAGATCACAAGACTGGAGTAGAGAGCATTATGAATTGTTCGTCACGAGCACATTAACTGAAATTTAAAACTGTTAAAAGAAAAGGCTCAATAAACTAACGCACATATTTAATACACTACGCATCAATATCTCTTCACTTTGTGCTTTGTACTTCTCTATGTGGAGCGCTGCGCGCTGTGACTCCGTGTTGCTTCAAGCGCATCATTCTGCACAAGGGATGCGCATAAGCGCTTTGAGCCGCTCTGTATTTGGAGCCTTTATTATTATAATACATTTGCGCAATGAAAGATTATTAATAGCCTTTCTTGTTAGTCTTATCTATCTATTATCTATGTTGCTGCCTCATTACTCTGCTATACATTTAAAAGAAATGTCTTTTAATTTATACAGTAGTCAACATTTGAAGTGGATCAAAAAAGTTAATCAAAGTTGTCCTAAGACAAGAACGGGTATTGTTTTGGTTTTAGGACAACTTTTATGAAAGGTTTTGATCCACTTCAAATGTCGACTACTATAATATATATTTATATATTACTTGATTTTCATGAATGTATTTTACAACAATACAAAGAGCAATGTGTAGGCCTACCAGATTTAGTCCTACACTTATTCACTTTTATTTGTTACCCACTAAATAATGTTTTTTTTTTCACTAAAAGTTTAGGATTTTATCAAATTATTGTGCACTCATTTTTCTAGAGTAACTTCTGCTACTGAATTATCCATAAAGCTAGTTTATAATAGTAATTTTGTCATTGATTATGATTATATATTTTATGTTTATTTTTCTTTATAATGAAGCTGTCTATATTTAGTAGATTGTGTGTAACATACAAAAGAGTGATGATCGACCTACACATTGAAGTATAAAAATTCTACACTGATTTAAAAAAAACTGCGCTGGTATCGGATCGATATCGGTATCGACAGATACTCAGAATTTTTGGTATCGGATCGGTATCGGTTCTGCTGCCAAACAACAGCCAAGAATCCTTAAGGATTTACAGAGAATCTGTAAAGAGGAGTGGACCAAAATCCCTCCTGAGATGTGTGCGAACCTGGTGACCAACTACAAAAAACGTCTTACCTCTGTGCTTGCCAACAAGGGTTTCTGCACCAAGTA